CAACATCAATGCAAGGAGAAGGCATATACAACATATACAACATCCCTGCAAGGAGAAGGCATATACAACATTTACAACATCCCTGCAAGGAGATGGCATCTACAACATATACAACATCAATGCAAGGAGAAGGCATATACTATATATACAACATCAATGCAAGGAGAAGGCATATACTACATATACAACATCAATGCAAGGCAAAGGCATATACAACATATACAACATCAATGCAAGGAGAAGGTATATACAACATATACTGCATCAATACAAGGAGAAGGCATATACAACATATACAACATCAATGCAAGGAGAAGGCAGGAGAAAGAAGGAGCATGCATCCCTAAAACTCTAAAATGCATCAATGCACACCTGGCAATAGGACGAGCGCACGGGGGAAGAAGCAAAGACATGTCTAGCTGACAAGTGACCGCTGACAGCTGACAACTGGCATGCGCAAGTGTGTGCGCCTGCAGATCGCTTATGGACACCGCTGCTGAAGAGGTTCGTACAGACAATAACAACACACAATGCTTTGGACAAAAGCAAAGTACTAGGCACCAAACAAAAGAAACAAAAGGTAGTGAACAGAAGCAATATACATGACAGGAAATAGAAGCAACAATAAGGGCATTAAAAGTAGGTATGTTTAGTATATATATATATATATACGTATATATAAGAAGACACATACAGGACATAGACATAGACATAGACATAGACATATACATAGACCTATACATAGACATACCCGGGGGATGCGTTGTCAACGTAGACGCCCCGCATGAACGGTAGATTGAATTCCAGTGACACTGCGCTGTCAATGCCACCCACAACGTACTTGGACGGACCACGCCCAGGCAGCACAGACAGATCTCTGCAGAGAGAATGAAATGGCATGAAAACACGCACACGCACACACACATAACAGACAGATCTCTGCAGAAAGAATGAAATGGCATGAACACACGCACACGCACACAACAGACAGATCTCTGCAGAAAGAATGAGCCGGGATGAACACACGCACACGCACACGCACATAACAGACAGATCTCTGCAGAAAGAATGGGATGGGATGAACACACGCACACGCACAAGCACACGCACATAACAGACAGATCTCTGCAGAAAGAATGGGATGGGATGAACACTCGCACACACACAAGCACATAACAGACAGATCTCTGCAGAAAGAATGGGATGGGATGAACACACGCACACGCACATGCACACGCGCAAGTCAAGGATTAAAGATATGCACTCACTTGGAGGGATCACTGCAGGAAACAGTCAGGCGAAGGGATATACCTATGCATCACCACAGCCCACAGTAGCACGTACTTAATAAGCACAGGTGAATGC